TAGAAGAGAAGTAGTCATAATGGAAATGCCTAAAATAAATAAATAGCAAACAAACAATTTCAAAAGTATAAATGTAAGGTGTCCATTTGCAAACCAAGAGTGCAATACTCTTGAGCAAAATGTTTCCATAGCGCTCACCTACTCCATAACAGGATATTACTTCGCTCTCTAAAATACCCTCCTCCACTGATAATACGCCTATGGTTTCCTTTTCAGTGGATGCAGGATAACTTCTACTACCTAACTTCTACTTCTCTGCCATAGTCATATTTATTGTCTCTTACATGTGGGCCTACACAGGATGCAGTAACATTGTCCTGGGTTCAGCAGTAGCTGTAGGACACACATACTGTTAGAAAGATGACTTACCCTAGGTCTTACTACTATTCAAGGCTGACAGAACCCAGCCAATCCTATTTTTTGAGATCAGAAGTTTTATTATTCAGATCAAGTTACCTTGAAAAGGACATCAGTGAATGTCGTGGTTCAAAGCAACCTTCAAAGAAAGACTGAATGTATTGTCCCAGTGGATTTCAGTAGAACACAAATGACTGATGTGTGCAATGGGCAGGTGTCTTACAAGTACAAATATGGAAAACAATTAGTTGAATATGAATAAAACCTCATATTAAATACATGTTTTACTAGTTTGTAATAAAAACTATTACAGCAGAGAGAGGCAGTTTACCCTGTTCAGGCAGCATTTCAGAAGGACAAATCACAATGCACAAACCAAAAAGCATAGTTTATCCACCTTGGTCATTCAGAATTGGAAGCTCACATTGCTGCAGAAGAGCAGCCAGACACCAGACCAACACCGCAGCTGCTGCAAAAGCCCGGTGGAGGCTCAGAAGTACCTTCCATATTCTTCCACCTTGTGTTAAGCGACTGACATTTCTTCCATGTACTCCACAGAGAACTGCCCCCCCATCCCTCCAAACTAAATGGAAAGCTGTCACCACTGCACTGCAGTCTGCATGGGTGAGGGTGTTTCTTACCCTCTTGTCTTGCCTTGGTGAGTTAGGAGAGAGAAAGAGGTGCACACAGCAACATTTCTGAGTGTACCCTGCTACTGCAATTACTGTTCACAATGACACTAATGCACTCTGAGGAGACTCATACTGACATTACACAGGAAGGCTGGAGGAGAGGGACACTAACAGTAGGGCATGACAGGCCAAGTTCTCCTGGGCCATCACTGCAAAAGTTAGAGTCATTTTCATCTTAAAGGCAAAATACTATCATTGTGAACTAAGCTGCCTGGTGTTAGAAGTTCACTCTCAGAAGATAATCTGAAAAAAATAAAGCAATCCCAGATCATTTTGATTCCTGCTCTTCCCATCTCCCCCTTCACCCAAGGGTCCCTGAACTCTCCAGGACAATGAAATCACACAAATTCTCATTTCAGTGATGCCCTGGAGCCATCACGAGCGATGAAAAAATTTATAAGGGGGCTGTAAAAGAGGAGTGTAAAACAGCAGATCTGCTTCAGGGGAACTGCTTTTGGAAAGAAAAGCAGCTGGAGTCGTTCTTGGTACTTTGAAGCCTTTCAGAAGGAAGTCAGAAGAAAAATCAGAGTGGCTGATAACAGTGTCAACGCAAACCGGGGTATGCCTGTCAGACTCTGAACCACTGAGACTTGCCTACAACTTATTTTAACTACCTTTCCTATTTCAGTATTTATTTTTCCTCTTTGTTCTTAATTTATACTATTTCTTCTTAGTTAATCTATACCAACATCTACTAGATACATTAAATGATATGGCTAAGGTCATTGTTGCAACTGTTGCCACTCTGACTTGACCATTAAACAGTAATTAAGTGATTTAATATTCACAGTTTATTATGTAACTTAAAGTAGCTATAACCTTAACTGAAGAGTGTAAATTGCCCAAGGAGTGTCAGGAATAGATACATCATTAAAACTGATAAAATACTATGTTGTTTAAATTATTAAGAAGATCAGTCACGAACAAGCATTTTAGTACCTTTAAAGGAAAAGCTTTTGTTAAAACAGCAAGTAATTAGAATTTTGTGATAATCATATTAAATTCCAAATAAAATATTCTTCAGTTATTACAAGTATCTTTATAAAAAGCTGTGTTCCAACAAATGAGCTCAAAGAGAATTTGAGAATACCTCCTTTGTGGGCAGGTTATGTTATGACTTCTTCCTATGGGTTCTTTCTCTGATGAACTCCCTATTGAAGGCAGGATATGGGACTTCCTGAACCAACGATCTGACCAGTATGTTCCTACTTTCTTTTATTAGTTTATAAGCTCCCAAGTAATTTACCTTCCTTTTTATAAATACCCAAACCTCTAAGAACAGAAACCTGAACCCATAATTCTGAAACTTGGAATCCATAGATTTTAGCAAAATATAATGCAGCATGTATGAACTGGAGGTGTGAAGAATAAAACTAATATTACTTCTTTTTCTTACAGAAGTGTCTCTTGTGTCTCAAAGGCAGATGAGGAATGTTACCGTGTGCAAGTTGCACCTTCCTTATTCACTTAAAAAAATTAAGCTTTCAGTAATGTGGAAGAATTTAAATTAGACATAAAGATCCCCTAGTAAATCATGATATACTGACATGTATAGAGAGCTACATCACACAGTGCAATTATTCCCTATGGGCTAAGTGTAGGAGTTGGAAAATTGAAATGAAAACTCTTGACAGCATTGAAGTACTTGGTCTCACTTTTTTACATTTACCTGGACTCCAGAATTCATGTTTTCTACCACATTTTTTAAATGCATATATATTAAACTCTTTACTGTCTTCTTGATACGAATGGGAAGAAAAATTTGAATCCTAATATCAGGTAAAATAATAGGATCTAATGAATATGCAATAGAAAAATGAACTTTAATATCTTCTCAGATAAAATATTACTGCAGTCTGAAAAGATTTCAAACATCCCATTATTACCGTTTTAACCTGAGGCAAAGCAAAGCACTGAAAATACATCAAGGGTTCTGTTCAAGACTAAACGGGTTATGCTTGTATTATGCAATTTGTATGAGAGTTAGGCAATAATGACTACACCCAGTTCAAAAATAAAATAAAATAAATAGGTAGGTTATTCAGTAGCACTTTTATCAGAGCTTCACCCCATGTGGCAGTGCACAAAGTATGACCTTGTCTAATCTGTTTTGTACAAGTATATGAACGCCTAAGTTTACTAACAAAATTGCACATTATGTAGCCTTTGCTAAAGCCAGTTTTGTTTCCACATTACTATTTGATCTCAACTCCAAGAAAAATAAAATTTTCCTCTGAAAAGGAAAACAGCCGGATTTTATAAAAAAAAAAAAAAAAAAGCAAGCTAAACAAGACCTGCCTAAACATGTTCCTCCTTTATGCGGTAAGAAATAAGAATATCTTGAAATCTTGACATTTGGGCAATACTCATAGCAATAAAACTCAGTTAAAGTAAATGAAAACTGACTTCAGCAGTCACACATCTTTTGAACTCTTGACCTGAACCTATCAGGATACTTTTCTCCCTTACATATAGTTACCTTTTCACATCTTAATATTCAAGGGTGCTCTAGCTGAAACAGGGAAATACCAGAAGAAAAGCAGTTGCAACAGGACATCAGGTCTGACCAACAACAGTATGAGAAATAACATGCAAGCTAAGGATCAAAGAAGGCTGAGGAGTCAGCACGGTTCAATTAACAGGCAACTGTTTGAAGATCTAGCTGTATTAAAGGGATGTCTGCATGTGCAATTATTATTTGTCCTGAACCTTGTAAACCACTCTTTAAGAGCAGAAATATAAAGGACACAAACAGGGCAATATAATTAAAAGGCAAGTCAATACTTGTCTGATTTTTCATTTGGTGAGCCTGAAATTAACAATCTTACATCCCTTTTTGACAAACAGAGCTGTATTCTGGTTAATTTTTAAACAACTTGCTGCCACAGTGCTAATACTCCCAAGGAAAAAATCTTCTCACTGCCTCATTCTATTTTGCCATATAATTTTTCTAAAATGTTTTTGGTACGCGTTTAACCACAGAGCACCGTAGAGATACCTGAGTTAGCTCAAAATAGATTACGCAGGTATAATTAGAGTCTTTTCAGCAGCTAAACTGGAGTTTAGCAGGAGATAATTTAAGCTATTTTTCACCATGGTAAATAAGCCTCCACTGAATGTTAGATTTCACTGCCCTACTGCTCAAACTGGCTCATTTAAAGCGTGTGCTGTATAGATGTAACCTCCTTTATGAATGCAGCATATTCACTGATATTTCTTTCACAGAAATAGCTTAATTTTTATTATACCCTCTATTATTTATTAACACAACCATTAAAAGCAAAGAGTAAGCTATTAAATGTCTGCCAAGCAGCCTATACTAGAGCATGGATTAACCTATTTTATCTTATAGATGGGCTTCTGTTAGTAAAATCCAAAGCTGCTAAGAAAATAAATAAAAAACCTCCACCAGAGGGGCACATCTGAAGTCATAATAAGCATGCAATTTGGATATTCAAAATGACATCACGACAGCTGCCATGCCTTCCAAGTATTGAAAGTGCTTTAAAAATAAAGCACTGGTAATGCAGTTTGGCAAATTGCTTCAATTGGCTCCCTACCATCCAAAAGTCAACATTAGCAGCAGCTTGGTTTGATTTTTTCATCTGCCTTTTGTAAAGTAGATCAGACAGTGAAAAGATTCAGAGTTTCTTTTTTGTTCTTTTCTGTCACAGACTTCCAGTAAGAGTTTGCAACAATGCACCCAAATTACGCTGTAAACTCGGTGCACATTCCAAGTGCGCTAACTGAAATACTATTTTTTCCACTCTATGTTTGAAATGTGTTATTATGCCTTACGCATTTCCCTTGCAGAAAATGTTAACCTTGATAAAAGCACTGCCTCTCGCTTTCACTTAATTTTGTCTTACTACTCCTGGAAATCTTTGCCTAAACAATCCATTCAACTGGAAAAAAAAACAACCAACCAACAATCTGGTAGAGGTGTCTTACCTAAAGACTGGTAAAGCTCAGTCATCTTGGGATGATCCCAGCAGGTCGTTTGCGTCTCATGGCTACAATACAAAAAGTGAAAGTTAGTCAAGTAAAATTTCTCTCTCCATCTCATTGTGAATGATTCAGGATGCACATCAAAGCATGGTGCCGGACAACTGCCTGCAGCCTGAGCTGCTCTAGCAGGGGGTCTCAGTAGTGGCAGACATTAATTAATTAAAAGTAATGCTAATATTAAAAAGACAGCAAGTATTCAGATAGGCCATAATGTTTTGGGGAGTCTGCAAGCACACCGATCTATTCTTTAAAACCTGTTGTTTGGTACAGATCACTCTCTGGTTCCTCCAAATTAAAGAAGAGACATTTAAAAGTGTTTGATTCTTGAAGGTTTTTTTTTTGGAATTCTAACCAGATACTGAGATCTGTGTTATTTTCACCTGCTTTCCCCTATGTGTTCCATGCTTTGCCATATCGTCCTTTCGGTCCAAAAATCTGCACTAAATTCCCTATACAACAGCCCACTGATCCACCACCAGCGTACACCACTTTTCAGGCCCATGCGTTCCAGCCCCCTTATCAGTGGTCTCTTTTAGCAAAGACTATTGCTGCCTGGGACTCCCAGGCCCTTGCCCTTTTCCTGCAGGTCCCCATGCCATGTCAGGAGGCAAGAGCTGTTGAGAAGCCAAGGAAAAGCTAAAGTGGGGTTATGAAACGCTGCACTATGATTAGAATGTAAATTGGACAGTCTCTGCATTGAGGCTAGCAGTCGTCAGCTTTGCAACACAACATGCTGCCAAAAGACAAACAGTGTGAGAAAGCCAACAAATGAAGTGTTAACAGGCGTAGTAGCAACTCATGTCTCCTCAGGTTACACATTTTATGTTTGTTTTTTTTTTTAATGACAATATAGCTAACGTGATCATGTTTCCATTAATGTAGCAAACTTGAAAGAAAATTCTCATGTAGCAAATGAAGTCCTGTCCATTCAGTATTCAGCTATATTAAAAGACAAGAGTGAGTATTCATTAAAAAAATAAATCTGGAAAGTTTATGTAGCACACAGTTGCTGTCAATCACATTTGCATTTTCCTTACTTAAGACATCCTAGTTCCAATAACACACATAATTTGGGAGAACAATGCAGGACAGCAGGACCTGGTCCACAGCACTGCACAGCTCCTGAAGCACACACCTTCCAGCTCCAAGAGAATGAACCACAACCTAGCCATCAGCTGAATGCACCTGTACTCCCAACTGTGTGTTGGAAGACTAGTACAATCAGGTTGTTTTAGATAACAAACAGCCCTTGAGGTCTTTCTGAGGCAGCAATATTCACAAGTATACCTTTACCTTTCACATGCTAAGACAGGTAAAAATTTCAATTACTCACTTCAACACCACCCCTACTCAAGGAAAAAAGAAAATCGTGACATATTTTCTCACTATCATTTAATTTTGGTCTTAAAAGACAAGCTATTTGTTTGATTCATGTGAATACTTTACTGGCCTAGTAACCTCTGCATGTTCAGTAGCTTACTATATATAATGTGTCCAGATTTTGCTCTGTAACTGCAAGAATGAAAGGGATCACAAGCACTAAGCATAAGGAAAACATGCTGCCTTAGCGCTGCCCTAGTTGAGCATATGCTTTTAAACAAACCCTGTTTCACCAGCCTCAGCATCCCCTCCCCTTCCTAATCCCTGCTGTGGCTGAAGGCAGTGAAAGGGGGAGGAGGACACTAGAAGAGCAAAGGCGGTCTTGGTTTTTGCTCTGGTAAAAGAAAGAAAAAAGCATCCTGCAAAGGAAGGTGCATTTAATCACTCAAAAATCTCAGCTCGGCTTGTTTTCTTAAATGCAGAAACGGGGTAGCTTCAAGTGAAAACCTGTGGTTCTGAGCCACCTGCACCCGATCTCCTGCATCTTCTGTCACACTTGGTATGGGCAGCTTCTGCAGAGAAAACGTAGCAGCAGCAGCTTTTGCCATCCTTTTTCATATTTTGAAGAAAAACAGGAGGAGTTTCATTTGCACACTGAGTCCCTAAGAAACTTGGCTACCTGAAGCCTCTGCTTACACAACAGCAGCCCAAAGGCAAAGAGGAAGGGAGCATACTTATCACAGAAGAACCCTGTAGACAGAGATGTCAGGATTCAGATGAACAGACTGCAGACTCAAATAAATATTCAAACCCACAGATCTTGGACTGCAGTTTGTTCATTCTCAGTGTCAGTCCCAGATCAGCAGTTCCACAGGCATGAGCCTGGCTGCCCTGGCTTGCTTCCCCATGGACAGGCAGCCCCAGAAGCAGGGGATATTTGAACAGCAACTGCCCCAAGGTTTGTATGCCAAATCCAGCAGTAAGTGAGGAAAAGAATTTATACATCCCTGAACCTCTGAAAATTTCCTATGAGACTAGCTTCGCAACCCCAGATTGTTCTTTGGTGAACCAGAGCACTTCAGACTCCAAAGCTGTTAACCTGGTAGCCTTCAAAGGCAGAGATTCCCCATTAAAATATTTAAAAGCCATCAGATATCTGGTAAAGATCTATCTATACAGGATTATGGAATCCCATGCTGTGTTGGATAGAAGAACACAAGGATCATTTTAAATACAGAAATCTATTATGGCTAGTCACTAATCAACATTACACAGATGAATAATTTATTTTTATTCTCATTTTTTTATGGTAAGGCCTAACCATATATCCATGGATTTAGTGTGCATGGCTTAAGCTTATGGCATTTACTAGCCCTCCTGAAACTACATAAATGCTTTTCCTAAGATCTTGTAAATAACATTTCCACTGCCAAAGAAACATTGGACTCCAACTGTTTTCAGGTATTTTTAAAACTAGTAACCCCAAACCACTAGGTGGACTGCTTTTCTTTCACAGTCTAAAATTAATTCTAATGGAGATGTACATTTTGTAAGGAATTATTTGCTTCATCTGCAAGTGACAGAGTTTGCAGGGCACACACCTTTCCCCTCTATTCCCTCTTTTATTTATAAACTTAGTTGCAACTTAGAGGAAATACCTCTTTCTTCAGGCTATAAAAGTTAAGTCAGTAGGGAACCAGTCCTGCCCTTGTCACCTTCCCAGCTGTGGGGCAGAGTGACCTGCATCCAGCTGGTTTGTAGCAGATCCAGTGATGGACTGGGGAGCCATCAGGATACCTCTGCACCCTTGCAAGGGAAGACAAGGGCTTTCAAGGGAACTGAGCCTTGGTCGCTGTGATTTCTGAAGAGGTTGGGTGCCTACACAGAGCCAGGGCAGCTTTTGCTGGTACTTTACATGCAGAACAGAAGGCTGCAGCTATTTTGCTCCAGCTAAAAAGGCACTTGCCTCTCAACTGAACATTTTCAGCTCGGAAAATTATCAACGATTCTGCACACCAGGGCAGCTCCAGGAAAGGTTAGATTCCATTGAGGCTATTCTTCATAAGCCTCTTTGCCATTTTCAAAGGCCATTTAATTGTGAGCTTTGGGGTTGAACCGGTGGGGGAGGATTTGTGTGCATGCCCTTATTGTGAACACAGTCTGAAGTGAAATGCCAGCTCAGCAGTTTCAGGCAGCCTCAACCACACTTGGGAATGCTGTAGCATCCTTAATAGATCTGCAGCAAAGCATCTGCCAGAGTTTCAAACTCCAGTGAACAAGGCTCTTTACAGTTTGCAAGTCAGAAAGACAGGAAAAGTGTAGTGCAAGACCTCTTGACTAAAAGCAGCTAAAGCAGGGCGAGAATATATGGAGAAACAGTACTCAAGATGCTTTTCCAATGAACCATCAACATAAAAAGACATCAGTGCACACAGCCAATAGTTTTGCAATATTGCACAAGCTCAGAGGATACAGTTTTCAATTTGGCTCTACATTTAGGTCAACTAAATTGATCACTAGTTTTTAAATCATGGACATTCTGCAACAAATAAAAATGCAAGTGGGCTCACGTGCCATATTTCCCTCCTCCTCATCTGACTTAAGCTGCAAAGGAAATTAAAACCAGGGCCTGAAAAGGAGAACAGCAGCAATGGATAAGGATGACACCTAGGTGCTGGTGTGACTGGCACGCTAAATACACTCATAATTCACTGGGATGAAAGCAAAGTCTTCACTTAATACATCCTTTGGGAACTGCAGGACCACTTCATTAAAGGATGATTATATTATATTAGCAGGGATAATTTTTATGTGGGGAATTCTGTCACACTATGCCTGCGTGAACTCCACTGTTCCTGCCAACGGCAGAGATTTGTCTCTCATCGCTGTCGGTTGAGCCAATAACACAGGACTGAAAACCTGACATCAAGAGATGATATCCTCACAGACATGCTAGCTGATTTACAGTTCCCTTGTTATAACTTGATCAGTTTAGACAAAATACAGTTGCTTATCTTCCTTCCTTTTATATTACTTCTGAGCAACACCAATAGCGGGGAGAGTGGAAAGCAATGTTCCCTCTACCACCCAAATTCCTGCACAAATTCCCCCTCTAAACATTCCTGCATAAGACAAACTGAAACTTTTGCGAACCTTTTAACTGTTTCTGATTGCACTTTTTTTTTTCGTTTCTAATATATATCTAGGATTCAGCCTCATGTGTATCGCCTGCTCAGATCCAGAATCTAGAATTTTAGGCTGCAACTGCACAGCCCTTTTTTAAACTCTTACATCCTTCCTCACTGGTGATACCAGAGCCAGTTCTGCTGCACTTCTCCCCTTACACTTCATTATAAAATGCGACATGAACTAGATGTGCATGTGCACAGAATAAGAAATTCTATCAGGCAGCAGTAAATAGTTACATATACTTAGGAAAACAACCAAATTACAGTATTTTACAAAGCACTGAACTGAACCATTTCCAAACAACACGATTTACATTACCTCTCACCTTTTTTGGCTTTAAGATGCAGAAAATATTATTCCAGCCACCTTATGACTGTTGTCAAAAAGTCAAAATAAACATGATGGAATTGTTTGGATTTTACTAAACTAACCCAAACACAATTGGAATTGTTTGTATGAATAGACACTACCAATCATTTGAAAGAGAAACGTTTTC